TAATTACTGAAATACGTCAAGACCACTTTAATTCTGTGCGTCGTTTCATATAATATTGATTCGTAAGATACATATACTGTGTGACAGGAAGGCACAGATGTAAACGTGAGAACGCATTGTCGATTTTTCGTTGATTTCGTTTTAAAAGTTTTTTGGCGATGTTTTGTGTTAATATAAAAACGCCTCTTTTTATTTAAACTTGTGTTTTGGTATTTGTTGTGTTTGTTCAGGTAGGAATATTGTGTCTAACTATAGTCATGAAAATAAAAATTCCAAGTCTCGATAAGTCGGAGTTTTGTGTTAGTCCCTTGAAATATCTAAGGTACATAAATGATACAGAATAACTGACAAAACGTAACATATTGTTTTCAACATGACTTTATAAATAGACGACCGTAGTACAGTTTCGTTTTTCATCAGCATATTTGTGTCGCCACTTACATTTAGTGACATTTAATTGTCGTTAAACAACCGAATCTTTGATTTGCGCTGGCCACTGAAGCGTTACGAAAGCGCTGTTAAAAGTCTCCACTTATCGAACAAGCTTTTAATACATATATATATATGTGTGGGTTTTTTTTTAAATCATCGACGAGAAAAATGATGCTGATTATTTTTTCCTTCAATTTCCCTTTGAATACAAAATCATGTCAAACATAGGTTTTGTCTCTCTAAGCATGTTTATTCCTGGAAAAAAAGGTTTTTTTTAAATATATCAGAAAGAAAATAATCTAGGAATACAGACTAAGCTATGTTAGATTTAAACAGAAATCAGCTTCTTGCATACTTTAAAGAGTTTCCTGTGTTTTTAAGTCACAAATACACGAGAAATAACGTACCTGTACACAGCTTTAAAACATCCATTGTCACCATTAACGTATCTGGTATCAGGTATAGATATGTTAAAATTCGTTTCTGACTCCGTTTTTCTCACCTTTGTTTTTGATAATTACGATGTTTGTCGTTACCGTGTTTCCCAGTGGTACCCTAATCTAAACAATATATCATGTGGTCCCCTTGGGTCAATACTAATTAAAAAACGAGAAATGAATATCTAATGGGCAGGCACGTGTTTCGTCATTCTGTGACGTTTTTGCAATGATAAAGGATTATTTACGCAGAATTTGACTACACAAGTGACTTATATAGTGTTCATTTCATATAGATTCTGATATTTTATCACATTTCTAAGCAATTGTGTGTTAATTTTATTAGTATGGTGAATGTAAATGATGTAAGATATCACATTCATAACAGAACATTGAATTACCGGATAACAACAGATCATTTACTAATGACAGAAAGTTAATTTATACTTTTTTCATAAACGTTCTCCCTAAGGACTGTACAATACAAAACTGGTAAACAAAAACTAATTAGATGCCCTTCGTTAATTAGTATATTGTGTCACGTGATATTGGTCTAATTCGATCGATATGTGTATCTATATGTTCTCCATATTACAGATATTACATTATTTTCCTTATTTCGATCTGAAGGGCTCTCGTATTTCTTAATTTCGCTCTGTCGATTGGCGTCTTCTTATGGATAAATAAATGAAAAGATGAAATAATTACCAGTCATCCATGGCAATCGTCTATGGTTTATATGAATTGATCCCCAGCGATCAGTATAGGACGTATAATCTGGAAATCTATAAATTATTTACGGCAAAAAAAGTATTTGTTCGCAATCTGTCATAGCTGTAAGTAGAGCATATCATAACGTTATGTTTTCTCGACGACAGACGTTATGAAAATCATGGCCAAACAAAACAAATTTAAAAAAACATGATCATAATCCAAACTTAAATTCAACATTACCAAAAGATTTACACAAAGATTCCTAAAGTAAGGGAAGGAATTTGGGAAAAGCGTGTTGACAAACTTTGAATGGGACATAACCTTCATGACCTGTTTGTACCTAATCATATCCTAAGTTACTGTGTGATCTCAGCCACGTGTGTATTCATAACAATGGACACAATTAAGAGGTATAATGATCTTTGGAATAACTCGGGAAAGTTAATGGTTGTGTACGTATAGCACTTTTAAAACTGCTTTATATTTGTATATAATGTTGTTAATTACGTTAGCCTTCCGATGTAGTAAGTTGAAAATTGAAACTGTCCGGTGTCCCCGCCCACCATTAGCATTAAAAGATAGGAAATATATGTTGTGTCAATCAGATTCAGTTGAGGACGAACGTCATAGTTCAATGAATTGAGGATTTTACTCAGATACCAGGCGAGTTTTATCTAGTAATGCTATTCAACACTATACAAACTTTTTAGAGTTGAATATGTCAGAAATTTTTGTTTATCATCTTATGAAAACTGATTATCTCCAACTCACTTCATCTTCTACCCTTTACCACATATATAGACGATCTTGTTTTATCAATGACTAACAATATATTTCATACATTGCAATATTGACAAAAGTGTCTCATAAATCTATTGAGGCTGGACATTTTAAAATCATCAGATTTATGAAGATGTATATTTCTTTATGTTAAAATGTGACACTATCATAAAATATTCTATTAATATTATTTATTAGATTCGTAATGTCATGTCTCAATATACAGATGTTTCGTCCTTCCATGTGTCAAAATACAGATGTTTCGTAATGCCATGTCTCAAAATACAGATGTTTCGTAATGCCATGTCTAAAAACACAGATGTTTCGTAATGCCATGTCTCAAAAAACAGATGTTTCGTCCTTCCATGTCTCAAAATACAGATGTTTCGTCCTTCCATGTCTCAAAATACAGATGTTTCGTAATGCCATGTCTAAAAACACAGATGTTTCGTCTTTCCATGTCTCAAAATACAGATGTTTCGTAATGTCATGTCTAAAAATACAGATGTTTCGTTCTTCCATGTCTCACTATACAGATGTTTCGTAATGTCATGTCTAAAAACACAGATGTTTCGTCCTTCCATGTCTCAAAATCAGATGTTTCGTCCTTCCATGTCTCAAAATACAGATGTTTCGTAATGTCATGTCTAAAAATACAGATGTTTCGTTCTTCCATGTCTCACTATACAGATGTTTCGTCCTTCCATGTCTCAAAATACAGATGTTTCGTAATGTCATGTCTAAAAATACAGATGTTTCGTTCTTCCATGTCTCACTATACAGATGTTTCGTAATGTCATGTCTAAAAACACAGATGTTTCGTCCTTCCATGTCTCAAAATACAGATGTTTCGTAATGTCATGTCTAAAAATACAGATGTTTCGTTCTTCCATGTCTCACTATACAGATGTTTCGTAATGCCATGTCTAAAAACACAGATGTTTCGTCCTTCCATGTCTCAAAATCAGATGTTTCGTCCTTCCATGTCTCAAAATACAGATGTTTCATTTTTCCATGTCTCAAAATACAGATGTTTCGTTTTTCCATGTCTCAAAATACAGATGTTTCGTAATGTCATGTCTAAAAACACAGATGTTTCGTCCTTCCATGTCTCAAAATCAGATGTTTCGTCCTTCCATGTCTCAAAATACAGATGTTTCGTAATGTCATGTCTAAAAATACAGATGTTTCATTTTTCCATGTCTCAAAATACAGATGTTTCGTTTTTCCATGTCTCAAAATACAGATGTTTCGTAATGTCATGTCTAAAAACACAGATGTTTCGTAATGCCATGCCTCAAAATACAGATGTTTCGTAATGCCATGTCTAAAAACACAGATGTTTCGTAATGCCATGCCTCAAAATACAGATGTTTCGTAATGCCATGTCTAAAAACACAGATGTTTCGTAATGCCATGCCTCAAAATACAGATGTTTCGTAATGCCATGTCTCAATATACAGATGTTTCGTAATGTCATGTCTCAAAATACAGATGTTTCGTCCAATCATGTCTCAAAATACTATCAGGGATCACAAGGGTCTAAATTTTGGCAACCGACCGAGTCAAACTAACAAAGACACATGGCTGAAATAGCCAACAAAAAATACCACCGAAATAACAATCCAACTCAAATCAAATAACACTAGGAAACACTACAAATAAAAAAATATATTTACACAGCGACTCCTGATAAAGAACATGGAGAATAAGACCAGGTGTTCCCGAAGCGTAAACGTCTTCTGCTTCGTCGATAGCATCCGCTATGTAAATCAAAGTTAATCCAAGTAAGCTATGTCACGTTCTCAAATGAGAACAAAGTATACAACAACCGAACCAACAGCAAACTAATGAGCATCAAATACGTCCAGCTTCATGTCACACAGATATTTCTTAATGAAATCACTATGGCGACCTTAAAACTTCCCCATAATTTTGACCAATCTGCATCTTTCAAATCCTTGTGTTGCGAGTTAGTGTAATTATATTTTTGATGTCGCTAGCTCCCGCGAGTACTTTGGGCAATCGTATCTGAAAACGCTTCACAATGATCCATTCTATATATATGTTACGTACACACGTGTCAAGATGTTCTCGCTAGAGTAGAATCATCACCACCTTTTAATGTGTGAAACTGGAGCGTTGTATGTTACACAACTATTATCATCGAATAAAAGACATACGTTGTGGCCTTGTTAACTTTATTTCGTATTTGAAGATATATTGATTGAAGAATCTGCCCTCGAATGTCATGCACAACGTGTGTAGCCGGAGAACGAAGAAAATTTAACCATCCTTAACTCGCCTAAACGTTTAACATATCAACATGAAACTTGGTACAAAGATTTTTATCATATCTGTGATGTTGCTGACCAGTTCGTCATTGATGATCAGTGTAATACACAAAGCCTGACAATTTTGGTAAGATTTAAGTATAACACTTGCTGGTCTCATAAGAGTGTTTTGAAGGTTATTTGTTTACAGCATACGACTACCGCTAGGCAGTGTGGTCGATCATTGATATTTTCGACAAATCAGAAAACTGGGATTGGTAGTAACATCCAGTTCCAGTGGCTGTATTATGTCTAGCTTAAATATATATCTACTGATGGAAACTAAGAAAAAAAACGACAAACATTTTTCTTCAGGAATAAATATACCTTTACTTGCTGATAAATTCCTCTGACACTTTATGCTAAGTAGTTATTCAGTTTTCAAAACAATCTTGACAAAACAGACTTTTTACAATACATAATATGGCCGATATCTATTGTATATAACTACTGGCAACGGTTTATACAACTTCTGTCTCTAGTGACAAGCTTTGGTATCGTCACAAAGCAAAGTAGCATGGAAATAAAGCTCAATGTTATTTATAGCAGAACAAATTCATAAAAAATATCTTGTATACACACATCATTGTACACTAAGCAGCCATTTTGAAATTGAGTTCAAGACCTGTATGTACATAAACTCTTCGTACTTTATACATCCATTCGTCCTTACATCCGTATGTCCTCTCGTCCTTACACACACCATACTAGTCTTGTGCTCGGATCTTCCTTCCCTTTAATGAACACTACCGAACACACCAGAACATACTTAGTCTGACAATATTGGTGGGAAACTGGAATATGAAAATGCTATACACAAAGCGACAGTTACAGTTATCCGGGAAGTATCCGGGTAATCGGAATTAGGTTAAAACTGAAGGTACAATGTGGTGAAACAACAATCAGTATGTTCAAACTTTTTTTTAAAATTTCAAAGTCAACCTATACTCAACCAGAGTTGTCTCTCCTTACACTCGCATTGGTGGGCGTGAGTGTAAGGAACGAAAAGCAGGGTAGAGATTGAATCTTTGTAGGAAAATCTAGTACACGTGTCATAAATAACGCCATTATGAAGAAATACACTGTTAAAGCGAAGGTCCAGACCGTTCGTTAGCTAACACAGCATAAAGTGATCATTGTCACTCAAATACAAGCGTTTTCCGGACGCGGATAAATAAACATCATATTAACCAAGATTAAAATTACATGAGCTCAGTCAAGACAGATTTTAACATAATATATATCTCTCGGCTGATGAGTCTCTCTACTAAACTACACACTGATGATAAACAACCAACACAACTGGTACAATTCTGATACCCGACACAAAATACACAACCTGAAACGTTCACAACCGGACACGTACAGCACACTCGGGAAACACAACCAAGTATTGTCTAATGTTACATACTACTTTGTATTTGTTTTGAAATATAAAGAAAACTTTGTATCCATTTTTTATAGTTGAAATCATTTAAATTTTATAAAAATGTCATAAGGCAAAGATAGGTAGAAATTTATAAAAAAAAAAAAAAAAAAAAACACAAATACAAAAACAAAAAACAAAAAAACCATCAGAAATTATACACTTGTTGAAGAATTTGCAGATTATCAGATCCGGTGTAGATCGAGGAAAATCTCGAACTGATCTAGAAATATTCAAAATAAGTCTGCAGGAAATCAACGCAAAGTTCCCGTGACAAAATAAATGTATTCAAAATCCTGTTATGTTTCTGGCACATGTACAAAAACTAGTGTGACAGGTGACGCATTGTTTCATAAATTATAATAAAAACTTTCGCACATTTATTTGCATTTCTTGTTTATACCATTTAAAGTTGATATATATACTATAGATAATGTGAGATAATTGATGTACAGTAATATTAAATTAGTAGGATAAAATGAAGCATTAAAGGTATATGTAAACGTTTAAACACATCGTAATGCCACCTCTAATCAGAATCAAATGCCCTGTAAATGTTAACACAAGAAATATAGCGTCTTTGGTAACTCATTATCAATGTTTAAAATCAACACAAGTTGATTCCTAGGTTGCTGCAGTTTGATGACGACCAGGAAACAATATATACTAATAAATGGGGTAGATATCTAACGACATACCTTGAAATAGACCATTAACTTACAGTGAAGTCTTGGACAACAGTGAATCAAAGTCGCACAACCAATGGCTCTACCTAATTGTGGTGACATCCATTACAACGCAAACTCACTAGGAGGCATTTTCTCTAAAACCCAGGCAGTGCTCACAACAACACTATTTCCATTAAAAACATTTTTCAACAAAACGAGACAACGCTCACTTATAGGCAGCATCCATCCCCATGAGGCGATATCCAAAGTTCAAAGTTCGTCACCAATAGTTGAGTTTAACTTCACTGTAAGAATTTAAATGGAATCGACTGAAGATTATGTCCCTTTCATTATACTACTATAAGAATGTTGATTTGGTAGAATGTCACTTGATCAATGATACAATTTCGACATTTCCTGTTCGTGTAAACAAAATTGCAGTAATAAGTGTTAAGACATGACATACTGCATTATTGATATCAAGATACCAGCTATTTACCATTTATACACAGATATCTATCTTGTGTTACAGGAAATCGGTCTTAAATCAAGTTACTACAGGTCATCTAAGGACAAAGTCCATTCCTCTATTTCGTATACATATTTGGGCCAACGGTTGAACAGAGGTACATAGGTATTGCCTTTAATGGATGTGCACCATGACATGCAATATATACGGAACAGGACCACCTTTTCTGGCATTGATATATATTACGTTATTCAAAAAATCAAAATCATTTTCAGTAAAGATCAGAAAAACAAATGGTTTGGGTGAAACAGATGTCTTAAGGCAGTGAGCAGCAGTCACAAGTAATGCACCATACAAAAGGAACAGCTAAAAATAACATTTAAAAATTACAGAGTAGATTTTGGTGGTCTCCGTGAAACAGTAATGAGGGCAAACTACCGAAACTGATGAATAATGCCTACCGTCCGGTACTGAAATCTGATGACTCTTACCAAATATTAGTAACCATAGTAACTAGACAGGAACTGATGACATTGCCGACGATTTGTACCACAGCTGATTCTACTTCAATCGTTTCTTTCTCTCAGTGATGGCGATATGAGAATCAGTGTACTAATATATCAATATAAAATAAATGAAACAAGGTCATTACTGTTAAATGTTCAAACGAACATCCGAACATAACTTCGCTAAATGTCAATGTGCTACGTGTAAGTAAAAATATCGCCAGCGACTTTGTACACTAATACTACTAAGACTTTGGCAGATTACTTGTATAAATGAACGATTAAACACTCAACAGTCTGTTAAAGGTATAAAAAACTGAGTCTCACAACAACGAAGACCATTACGATACACCAAGGCCATTTACGGAAACATTAAACGATTACTAAAACCAGACTATCATTTCACTCATTCTAAATATTTCTGTAGACCTTATCAGTAGGATACAAAGGACAAATAGAATTTTTATGAAGGTATTTCTTAACGATGTAATGGTGTAAACCAGAAACAACGAAAAACTGGCCAATTCCATGCGACAAAGTTTGGCTATGGTAAATTGAGGCGAATGTGACTTCTCGTATAAGTATGATAAATAATAGCAATTTCACTTCAACCGCATGGTGAAATCAACAAAATGATTATATGTTAATTTGTCAGCACCTCACATTATTACCAGTCCTTTCATTTTATCTGCTGTTTCTATCGGTAAAGAAAATGATAAGATACAATGCCGCAAAAATATACATTATTAATGAATAATTACATGATTTTTCATCAGGAGGTATAAAGAGAACCAAGCCTTTAATGTGAGAAAGCAAATTTCTAGATTCACTGGAAACAAGTGAATTTCTGGAGTTATTAAGGTGAATCAAGACTTCACAGAAACAAAATTTCAATAATTGAATATATAATATGAACTTGAAATTTAGACATCAATGTGGTTCATTATACTATGAACCCTTACAGCTAATGCCAATCACTACACCTTGATCCTTCGCTTGCGCCCATGTAGAATTCATCTTTACACACATATTCACATATAAAGATTGCACCATTTGAAATACACCAATGCACAAATTTGTGTTATTGATTGTGACTTGAGTCTTTAACAGTAGTTGTTTTATGAACAGTTTCAGTTCCATAGACTAGTTCATCAGTCCAGAAATCCTATTTTGAATTTTTTTTTGTCCGGTCAAGTGATTTCTGTTATTAATGTCTGATAATATCGCAGAGTAACATAATAGTCCACTGACTGAAACGTCAGTGAAATGCTGAAGTTTAAGGTATCACCGACCTGGAATATTCAGACTGAATTCACTGTATCTGAATACCCTCAGTGTATTAATTACATGTTTGACATACTGTGTTTATCATGCTCTGAACTTCCAGTAGTAAACACAGTATCATATCACACGTACACTATTTATAACAAAATCTACACCATTTTACCACGTCTACTTACAGTGTACATAGTCAGTGTTCAAAATTGATAACAAAATATACCAGACAACCTCCAATGTCAGGAAATGAATCGCTGAAATCTCTATTCTACACAGTGGTTACAATGCATCCCTTCGGCGTTGTCTCCACTGTCGCATTTTCCTCTGACTGCAAACTTAGGTTTTGCAGGTAAGTCTGCTTACGTCTAGCTTGCAGCATTTCCGTTTTTGTTGCATGTCCAGTTGGTGTTGGAATAGTCTTTCTTGGAGTGGTTGGTTTCACAGTCAAATCTTCGATTTCGCGTTTGTTGTCATCAATACTACTAGACCGTGCTGGCGGAGGCACAGTCTTAGTAGGGGTGGTGTTACCTTTGGCAGAGTTAGGGACAGAAGCATCTCCCTTGGTAGTAGTAGGTTTGTAATTGAATGGCGGAACTGTTGCTTGTGGACTTGTCTTCAGTTCCTGAGATTTTGATGTGCTTAGTGCTGCCTTAGCAGCTTTCTTCTCTTCTTTCCTCTTCTCATCTTTGCGTTTCTGTTCCTCCTTCTTTTCAATTTTTTCCTGTTTTTTCTTTAAGCTTTCTTCTTTTTTCTTCAAACTTTCCTCTTTCTTTCGGAGACTTTCTTCCTTTTTCTTAGACTGTAGTTCTTCCTTCTTTTTCTTTGAATGTTGCTCTTTTTTCTTAGAATTTTCCTCATCGCAAATATCGGTTCTATTTAAAATTTCACTTTTGTTTAAAGCCTCTAGTCCACTCCTATTCAGTTTAAACAGACTTTCCTTGGAAGTTGAGAGTGACATACTGGATGCTGCCTTTTTAGTTTCTGTCTCTTTTTTGACACTTTTTCCAGAACTAAATATTTGCTTCATTGCTTTAATTGGCAGAAAGCTTTTACTTCCACTGTTGCCACCTTTTGACTTGCGCTTACTCGATCGAAACAGACCATGCTTGCTTAGTTCAGGCTCTGAACGTGAAGTGTCCCCATCACGCCTCACCCAAATTGATTCTTCATCATCACTCTGAGCAAAACTTGAAACCGACTCGTCACGATATCGCCGCCAGGTGCTATCGATTGTCTGATTTCCCTGACTGAGAAAACTAGAGCCCTGGCTCAAATAACTATCCTCCGTCACTGAAGAGTTCATCATACTTTCAGTCATACTTGCAGAGGAATCGAGCAAAGCCCGCACAGCATCCAGTGACTTACTAGTGTCGTCAGCATTTGGCAAATCTCCAATTAAACTCTCCGATTTTTTCTTTTTCCATGTGCTTGAGTCAACGCGGTGATTTAGTACCTTCAGGCCATAAGGGTCCATTTGTGAAGGGTGTTTGAACAAAGATTCATCACCAACATCTCTTTCACTTTCGCTTCCACAATCCCTGTCCGGCGAGCAAACGCTATCACTTGACATTCCTTGATCTGTGGAGTTGGCAGAACTTGATTTTTGTTCAGAATCATATTTTCCCCCATTAGTTTCCTGCTCAGGGGAATGTGCAATGTTATTGATTGTTGAATTGTGAGCACTTCTATCCGAGCTGTCTAAACACGGTAATTGACTTGTGTCATTAATAGCGCTGATTTTATCATAGGTAGAACTCCGACTTATCCCATCACTTTCGTCTCGTGAAGTGGATTTTACATTACTCGTGCTGGGTGATACTCTCTGACCTGAAATTTCACCACGGGAGTTAGGGGAACCTGTCCGCCCTTTGGGTTGCTGTAAACGACTGTTGGCCATGTTGGCGTTTCCTCGTGGTGACTTTTGAGGTGGGGTGGTGGAGACAGGAAGCCGTGATCCACGTTCTTCGACATCTTCTTTTCTCCACATACTAGCTACCTTGCTGTTCACCTGCTTTTTGCCAGGAGTTGTTTTTTGCTCTGTTTTACGAGAAGCCGCTGGAGCAGGGGCTGAGTTTTTACGTCCAACTGGTGTCGAGGGACGTGAATTATTCTTCAAACTAGCATTACTATCCGACTTTCTAAGTTCTCCTTTACTGCCAAACTTTCTAAGATTTGGGTTAGATCCGCCCTTATTCAAAGAGGCACCACTACCTGACTTATTTAATGAAGCGCCACTACCATACTTATTGAGAGAGGCGCCACTTCCTGTTTTGGTCAATGAAGAGCCACTACCTGTTTTTGAAAGAGATGACCCACTTCCAGTTTTAGTAAGTGAAGACCCACTTCCAGTTTTAGTCAGTGATGACCCACTGTTAGTTTTTTTCAAGTTACTTCCACCAGATTTGCTAAGATTAGATGTTGCTCTTGATGCGGGCTTCCCGTTTGGAGTTCCGTTACGGCCAGCTATATTTCCGCCACTGTTTGACCGATTTTTTGTAATATTATTACTCAATGGTGTCTGCAGCTTCCTCACACCCGGCTGTGTGTTTTCTTTTGTTGCCTCGGACGACGAGGAATCAATGACTGAGAAATTGTACGTACCCAGAGCCTTTGACCATGTATCTGGGGTTGGATCAGAGTCAGATATCCTTGGGGCGTTAACTCCTGTGGGCTCTTTTGTGAAGGTGCCTTGTTTGACCGGGGGTTTGGGTCGGTCAGTATTGCTTCCCTTACGATTCTGTGAAGCCATTGGTAAACGGCTTGGGCTGTTTTTGTTGGATATCTGTTGTTTCTGAGATGTCAGTACCGTAGTAGATTTCCTTTCTGGTGGAGACGGTTTACCAATTTTGGACTTCTGTGAGTTTCCACTAACAACGGGTGCTGCTTTTGTAGGCGTACTGCTGGCCTGTGGGTGAGTCTTTTGGGCTGGTACTTTACGGCGGGTGTTTGTTGACCCAAGTCCTTTGGCAACGTTTGATGACTTGTTGCCAATATTTGGAGTTGGTCTTTGACCACCACGACTAGCAGCATTATCCTGACGATTAGGGGTAGATTTCTGTGTTGTTGTTGTGTTTGTTCGAGGACTGTACAGTGGTTTACGACGACCACGAACTGTTTTAGAGTCATCTGGCAATGAACTTTTACCATTAGGCTTATTGCTAGGTTTCACAATTCGTGGCCCAGCGCTAGAATTTTCTGACTTGTCGGTCTGAGATCTAGACTCGGAATAGTTCTCAGAATGAGCTGACCATGAACCTGATACTTCTGAAGCAGTGTCTGATGTGTAGTCACAGGACACAAGAGATAATGTTTCATTTTCTATAAACATATCTTCATCCACTGCGCTGCCGATCATTTGGCGACTCTGAATCTCGTTTACGATAAGACTGGCATTTATTTCTAACGCCCGTTCATCATCTGGTGTAATTTCATCCTCGAAGGATTGCTCATGTGAACGAGATGCATCTTCGTAATACACGTAGCCATTTTGCATCATATATTCTATGGCCTCGTCAGTCATTGTCATATTCCCGCTTCCAAAGTTTTCTGTCATAGTTACATCAGCACTGTCAACATTTTCGGTGATATCTTCATTTGAGCTAGCTGGGTCAAAGCCAAAGTTGTCAATGCCTCCAACGTATTTGAATGGACTACGTTGTGTTGCTCCATCTGAAGTGTCCGGGGGTTGGTACCCTGATCTGTTTAAGGCTACCCGAGCTTCCTCCTCCTCATCTCGTCTAGTGCTGCTACCAGAACTATTCCTCGTGTCAGTATCATAGCTAACACCAATTTGTCTTGGATCCTTGGCGTAGGTATTGATTCTAGGATCGACTTCATGACTAACAACACCATACCTAGAGTCATTGCTATAACTACCAACACTATGTCTACTGCCACTTAGTCTCTGGTCGTTACTATAGCTACCACTGCGGCGACTGTGAGAACCGTAACTATCCCGATCAGATTTCTCACTGTCCTGTTTTTCTATACTGCTGTTTGAATCACGCTTGGATAGTTTCTCAGTTGAAGATCTTCTGTTCCATAAACTTTTTCGTTGTCGAGTTTCTCTTTCCTCAATGACCCTATTGTCCTGGTAGCTCTCTCCCATTGCACTAGTCGAAACTGTTTCCATAGAATACCGAAAGCGATGAGGCATGGTGGAAACAGATTGGGCTATCTCCATATTTGAAAAATCTTTCTGTCGCTTCAGGAACCCATCACTGTCTTGCGAGCGAGACCGACGCCAGCTCCCGCGTTTGACAACATCAGTCTCTTGTTGTTGTTGTTTTTGTTGTATCTGTTGTTGCTGCTGCTGTTGATGTTGCTGAAGCTGTTGTTGCTGACCAGCGCTGAAATTGCGCGCCATTTGTTGAAGACGTAGATGTTGTTGCTGTTGTTGTTGTATAAGCTGTTGCTGATGCTGCTGCCACAAAGCGATCCGAGACTCATGGTAATGGTCGCCATGGTAACTCATATCCTCAGCAGACGAACAGCTACGCGTCATACGAGATGACTGCTTCACATGATGTCGATTCCAGCTCCGCTGATAATACATTTGAGCATCTTTTTCAACACTACGATCATATGATCGATTTTCCGACCGCCTGGAGGGATCTGTTGATTTACGCTCAGATCTCCTTCCACTTCGGCCAGGTATCATCATAGACTGAGATGCCGGCACTTTAAAGTCGGCATGTTTCTCTTTTGGTCGCATTGACGGTAACATACTGGCATCAAATGATCTCTCTAATCTGCGAGAGTCTTCATGGGTTTTATGTACATTAATGTCGGCATCCAAAGATCGTCGGTCCTGTCTGGAAGACTTGACAGGGGCTTCCTTAGAAGCACCATCTCTTGACCCACCTCTCGTTGATCCTTCCTTTGCAGCTCCATCCTTCTTTGGTATGCTAGTTCCACATGGACTACTCCTAGGAATTTTACTTTTAACTTTTTCATCCAACTTTGCACTAGCAGATCGACTCTTTGGTAGAGCAAGGCTGATACATTCATCCAACAAGGCCTGTTCAGATGCCTCAAATATATCAGAGTCCATACTAAGTGAGCTCAGCGAGCTGTTCCGCGAGAAACTGGCAGGCGTGTCCTCAACAGTGAATTTCTCATTTTGATCTTTCGCAGGGTCAACTTTCCGCGCTGTTTCTTCGGTGTTCTTTGCTGCATCATCCTGACTTTGTATTGAACTTAGAGATGAATGCCTAGAGAAACTCTGTGGAGTATCCTCTACAGCAAATGTTTTGGGTTGCTCTTCCAAACATTTACCTGATTTCTGTGATTTTGTTTCGTCACTAGATTGACCTTCGACCTCACGCTGAAGATCAATACTACAGTTTCTAGCTGTTGTTTTCAAACTTTCCGGTGGATTTGCCAGGTTTGATTTATTTCTGTCATTTTTGGATTTAGACATAGATGACAGATCCCCTTTTACATCTTCATCCATCATACTTAAAGAACTAAGTGAATCATTTCTGGAAAACGTTTGGGGCGTACCTTCCATATTATACACTTTAACCGAATCACAGGATTCGATAGTCTGTACAAACACAGAATCATCAGCTGTGGTAGCCAGCATGTTAACGCTCGACTGATCCATGCTCGCAGATGTTGAGTTGATAATTGGTTCTTGAAGGAGTGAGGGTCTGTTGTCTAAATGAATATTTTGTGATTTAGTTTTCTGTGGATCCCCTGATACAATGTGACCTTCTTGGTCACTGACTGAGGTAGGATTTGAGAAGTTGTTGGGGGCACCTTCCATTGCGTAAACCTTAGTGGAGTCGGGGATGCTGAAGTGTGCCTGGTTATCTACGCTGGTTAGACTAGAAGTACGCTGGTTATCCGTGGTTGTTGGGATATGACTAGAGGTGCGTTGTGGCTGAAACACAATCTTAGCTTCAGTGGACTGGGAGAAGACATGGGCAGTCAGCGACTTGGCCGGAGACCTAACTTCTGAACCTTCCACTGCACGATCCATATCTAATTTTCTGGACACTTTGCCTTTTGGCATTCCAGACAGTATGATTTCAGACAAAAGTTCGTCGCTTTCATCGAGAAGTGAGCTACTGTCTGAATGAGTATCATCGAGTTGTGGGTTTTCTTCGAGCTGAGTTTCTGATTGATCTTCTTGCTGTTTCTCTGATAGGTGTGGAACTGTTGCCATAGCGATCTTTGTGACAGGTTCCTGCTGTGTTTCTGTTGTTGTAGTTACATGCGGGGATATCTGTGTTGATACAGGATTGGACAAACCTGCTGACATTTCTCCAGTCATGTTCGTAATGATACTTAAGTCACTCAGTGATCCATTTGTAGAAAAGTTAATTGGAGTGTCCTCTGTGGCAAACGTTTTAACACCATCATCAGGTATGTATGGTTCTATTGCCGACAGATTGACAAGTTTAACCTTGTTTTGAATGACATTCTCAACTGTGTCCTCAGCTTTATGTGAGGGCGAGCCTGGATTTGAAACATTGTAAGGTGTACCCTCTATAGCATACTGCTGTACAGCATCATCATCCACCTGAACATCAATCTTTGCCACAGCCTCCATATTAAACAAGTCAACAGGTGCCTTTTTGGTTGTTGGTGAAACCGCCTGTGACATAAGAGGTGTGTCCTCAGTAGCGTATGACATTGGTATGTCATCATTATCATCCATAACATCCTCTTCTCGTCTTAAAATATCCTGTAATTTTAGGAGTGGTTTAGGTTTCTGAGAAGTCTGGGAATGGCAGACATTTGGCATTACTCTGCCAACATTAAGTGTTGGCCTATGTCCTTTTGCAGCATCTCGGCATTTGTTATTTGATTGTATATTATTTTGTACACTGGTATTTGGTATACCTTGTCCTGCATTTGGGACATTACACAACTCTGCCACTCTCATGATTGATGATGTAAGGAAATCCTGTGATCTTGTCCTCAGTATGTCCTGTGGCCCTGATGTTTCTTGTGAAGTTGACATGGAACTATCCTGTGACCTTGACATTTGATTAATCTGTGACCTTGACATTGGTATGTCCTCAGAAGCATATGATTTAACTGTATCCTCCTGTAAGCTTTCCTCTGTAATCTGTCGATGGTGTTTACTCCCACCTCGTGATATCTTTCCTTTTGAGGTTGGTGACAAAACTGACTTGCTGCTGGCAGTTTTTCCCTGTCTAACAGGCATCTTGCTTCTATGTGATTCAGACTTAGATTGTGCTGACTTTTTCTTGATTGTATTATCTGAAGAGCTTCTCCTCATTTTCGGTGGCATGGCAGAGATGATACACTGTTTTAGAATGTCTTCCTCACCCTCAGAAACTTCTGACATTGACGAGTTCTCCTTATCCTCACTTCGATTGAACATGCTTATATCGTCTACTTTCTCCTGAATTAATGTCAGATCATTAGAATCAGAATCCTTTGCACGTTTGGAAGCTTCACTATCTGTGTCTTTTGAATGTTTGGTATTATCACTATCATCAATTGTCAAGGCACTTAGAATACTGTTGCTATCGGAGCAATGAGGTGGTGTACCCTCATCTGCATAAACAGTTGGTCGATCATCTTTACCCATAATTGAGGCTGTCTCTACAAAAATAGTTTTGTTCATGTTGTTTGATGGCATGGGTTTCACCACATTTTGTGGAATTGAACTACTAAATCCTTTCACTTCCGAAGAATCACTGTAATTCTTAGATGACAAACTTTTAGAGCTTTCATCAGGCTGTGGTGATTTTCCTCGTGGACTTGGAGGCATTGTCTCACTTGGTGAATCAGGAAGCTCGCTGGGAGAAACGACCTCACTGGCTCGACGACTGTACTCACTCACTACTGAGCTGTGTACAGATTGGGCATCAAAACTGCTAAGAGAACCAAGAGAACTGCATCTGGAGAACATGAGAGGAGTCTCCTCTACATGATGGTGGTCATCAAATGTCACGGTTTTGTGCTCCTTCTCATACTCCGAACTCTGTGCATCTGAATCACTGAGAAGCTTCTGTCGGCCCATTAGTGGAGTATATTTCCCAGCACTGACCCTACGATCACCAGGGCTCATTTCACGATTTGATGTTTTGTTGTTTTCGTTCTCATTGATGCTGGTGAGACCAAGTTGACGATTGAGTGCTTCGGTCCCCACCTTGTCCTGAGCTTCAGTACTGTGTAGACTACTGAGAGAACTCACTCTGGAGAAACAGATGGGTGTGCCTTCCTCACAGTATGTCTTTATTTGATCCTGACTAGAATCATCATCAGATCTAGCATGAAATGACCTTTCCAGGGTATTGACTTCTACCGATTCATCAGGTAGGGGCGGGGGACTGCCCGGAGGAGTACGGTGGTAGTTAGTTATCACAGTGGTTCCCGTCTGCTGGTCTGTGCCCATGCTTCCACTTCCACTTCGTTTGTCAGACTCACAGTGTCGCGAACTATTTCCCATACGCTTGTCAGCATCACTGCTGTAATGCTTTGATGAGGCTGTCTGTTTTTCTGATTCATTGTAATGTGACTCATTATTTACCTCCTCTTCCTCTTCTTCTCCCTCCTCTGACTCCTCCTTTTCTGCATTCTTCCCAGTTAAGTCTGTCATTGAGGCTGCCAAAGAGAGATAGTTAAGAGGTGTTCCCTCAGTGTAGAATGTCTTTACTTGGTCGTCATGGAAACTGTGCGTACACTGTTCTAGTCTGTCATTGGTTCGGCGAGCTTCCTCCAGCTTACAATCAGCACAGTTAGGGTCTGTGTCTCGGTACCGCATATGTATGGGGTTATTTTCCTGATAGCGAGGTCCTTCCCCTTCCTGAAATCGTGTACTATAGGATATGGGTTGGTCACGATAATCTTCTTCATGTTGTTCCGGGTATCTGCGACTGAAATCTGTAGGTTGGTCATCACTATCCAGGTCAGTCTCAGCATACGTACTGAACTGAGGTGGAATCATCGGAGGTCTCATCATTGGGCGGAGCGGTGGACGCATAAATGGTCCGGGATTGATCTGACGTGGATGCTCTCCCAGTAGTCTATGATGTACAAACCTTGGCACACCTTGTTTGGGATCATACCCAGGGTTCATATAATTATTGAACCTTTGTTGTGGCTGGGGTGGAGGCTGGGAAGGAGGACCCATACTAGTAACCGGTCCTCCCATCTTTCTGTTATTTGGCCCCTGGTGTGCTGGTTGATTGTCATGATAATTTGATGTGGTTGAAGCTTGACTGTCATGAAATTTGAGGCTGTAGTCGATGGGTTGGTCATTGTCATTACCTTGATGGTAATGCTGAGCACCTGGGTAACTGCTATTACCAGGTGTACTCGCCACAAACTGATTGTTCTGGTGCATGTGCTGTGGACCTGGTGATGACGAAGAGTTAGTTAGGCTCCGATAAAGCTGGTGAGCTGGTCCCGCTGGGGCAGGAGGTCCATGCTGATTTGAGTTATCTCCCCTCAAAGGATATGATACCTTATCTCTCTCTACTTCCATCATGACCTGTGCTATGTGAGCCCCTGATGAGTGGGGTTGCCCCTCGTGACTGCCTTGTTCAGACCCTGTCTCCTCAGAAGAGGAATTCCCATACTGATGCCCTCCTGATGTTCCAGAAGTTCTCCGATCGAGACTTCCTCCCTGTCTCTCTTGACAATTTCTTGCATTTCGCATCGCTGCACGAAAGCGACTACGATCGTGTGAGATGTCTGAATGAGTACTCCCTACACTGTCTTGACTGCCTGATCTTGCCACCCGTTTTGGTGACATCAGACGACTGTCAGACATCGGAGTATTATCCCCACTTCGTGTCCCACTCTGATAGTAGGGACCACGGGACAATCGCCGCGAGTCATGTTCCTGCTGCCCTGTACCACCAGGGAAGTGAAAACGTGAATTATTGTCTTTTTCAGTATTACGTCCATTCTCTGTCGGACTGTCACGAGGGCTCTCTAAATTTTCACAAGTCTCTGATAAATTCTGGTCAATTTCTGCTTCTAATGCTCTCTGTTTCCGTACATGTAACGATGGACGGTTTGAATTTGTCTTTCTATCCATGTTCATATTCTTTATATTAGGACAGGCATTGAGTAAGTTCTTTAAAGCTGCTGAACTTCCCATTGAAATCATCTGATGTTTTGAATGCACAAGATTCCTGAGCATGCCAACTGCCCCCATATCCCATAATGCCTGTTGGTCCTCTAAACAGCGAGCAGAGAGATTCCATAAGGTACCACATGCGTTACTAACTATTGTCAGACTTGTGGACCGAAGTTGTTTCAGCAGAATCTGAAGACATGACTGTTTACGTAGTGTTGCTCGGTAATCCTCACGAACTGTGATATGACTTGAAATATTACGAAGCACACCGCCACCATTTTCTATCACAGCCGTTGTCTTAGAAGGACTTTTATAGGTTAATGTACCAACTAAAAACTCTAATGAACCATCAACTGCACATATATCTGCCTTATTTTCACTTCCATGAGCAGACAGATTCCACAACGCACTGAGAATACTCTTCAACGTAGCCTCTTTTTTCACTTCCATGGAAGCTTTCATGAGAGTAGTGGCCGCACCTACTTCACGCAATGTCTTTTTACTTGCCAGGTCAGCTTTCCAGGAAAGATTCCTAAGTACACTCGCAGCAACCTGACACAAATCTTCACAAGAAGACAGTAACTGACTGACCAGTGCTTGCATAAATCCTCTCATGGAACAGAGTAGAGCTTTGTTGGTGCCGTCACCGAAGGTAAGATTGGTGAGGGCCATACAGCCATAGCGACGCATGGTGATATTATACTGTTCCTCTGTGTCGGTGTGTATATCGTTGTCAACCTGTATCAGCTCCGCTATTGCCTGTACACCTCCTGAAAAACAACATAAATATCATGAGAAACAGAATATTATAAGTTTTTATCCCACAAAAAGTCCAGTAATTCTGAAAATCTGACTCGACATAAAAGGATGGGTTTATTACAGGACAAATGATTTCATAGCATTAGTTTGGTGTCTAACTTTCTTAATGTTGGTGGGAATATTTTACATCCTATCAACAACTAGGGATATTTAATGGCAATTTAGCACATCATTTGTTAATCCAAAATAAGTTCTGTACAGAAATTTTTAAACAGAAGTTATTAAGTTACATAGACAAATTTTCATTCTTAACAATAGTTCAACATGAAAATGTTGCTAGGCCTCTAAAAGACTGAAATTTTAAAATTTTGACAAAAGATCACAGAAGAGATAGAGTGGTAAAATGTTTACATGAGGTGAATATGTAAATAATAGGACATACCTAAGCTACAGATTGCATGGCGATGTTCTTCATCAAATGACAACTTCATCAGAGCTGCTACAGCTGGACCTGGATGGTGATCCATGTCATGTGTCTTGTTACCTGGTAACAATAAAATTTTACATCAATTAATTGGTTAGTCTTCAGACCATATGACTTCTGTGTTAGTATTTCTAATGAAAATGTTAAAAACATTAAGATATAGTTTATAAACATTTAAGAATACAGTCAAACCTGTCTTTAAGGCCACCTTTATAAAGGCAATCTGTCTGCAAAGGCTCCTCTTTTTTGTTCCCTGTATGATTCACAGTAATTGAGGTTTATATAAAAACCACAGTTAAGGCGATTCAGAAGATGTTATAAACAACAGCCTATCTTAAAAACTGATTTTCTCTGCTCCATAAAGTGGTCTCTATGGACAGGTTTGACTAGTATTAAATGAATCAGATATTTACGAGTTGGTTTATTTCCTATGTCATGACAATTCTTTTTTATTTCAACTGTCTCAAGAGCTTGTTGGTTGATTTTTTTAAAATTACCGATAAATGAAAATTACAAAATTGATTGAGTTATGGGGCACCTCCCCATCCAGGACATGATTTTATTTTCTGTCACTTTGGATCTTCTGTCGCCTCTTTGGCTTCAAAATTTAGTTCCTTAGCATTAGGGACGTCAAAACAGCTGTATGCTGCAGTTTAATTCATTGTTTTCTGTCTCGAAGTTTAACTTGAAACTGTTCAGATCTAACAGCTCAAAAAATCAGAATTCATTTAATGCTGACTCATAAAAATCACACATGAGGGTGAAATTGCACATATTTCTACCTAAACAAAGAGATATTTCTCTAACCTGATTGCCCTGCTTCCTCTTCTGGTCCATCCCTCAGCTGGTCACTGTGGGCACGAATCTGCTCCAGCAGTCTTAGTACTCTGGCCTCACGCCTACCTCGTTTGTCATCAGGGTGACTGTGTACAATGTTGTGAAGTGCCGCTGCAGCCCGTGCTCGGGCAGCTTTACTCCCTCTTGTGTTGCCTAGCAACCCTGAATCCTTGTCACTTCCGTGTAGTAACTGGATCAGCAGTGGCATACAACCTAGAAAAGATAAAGAATTAGACATAAGATTACACATCAACCATCCGTGATTAAAATAATCAGTGAGTTCTTCAGACGAACTGAAAATTTCATAAAATTGCTCCCAATGTTTAATACCATGCCTGGTCTTTTCAGTCTTAACAGTATGTCAAATGGATCCGTATGTGTTACAAAGTCTTTCTTCTCTTCTATTTAAATGATAAAATCCTAGTGACATAAATACACAACATTAAGTATTAATGTGTATGATGATTTTACCTGACTGTCGCATGGCAATACAGCTATCCTGAGAGCTGGACATGGCCAAGAGTGTCCGACTCATATCATCCTTGTCATGTGCCCCAAGCATTGACAGCAGCGAGTACACCATCTCCACCTATAGTAACCATGACAACAGAAGTTTCAATGAACATAGAAACCATGACAACAGATACAGTTTGACTGCATATTGAAATCATAACAACAGATATAATTTGACTGGATATGCAAAGCATGACAACAGATAAAATTTGACTGGATATGAAAAACCTGAAAATTATATCTGAATTAATTTCATGAAAAAAAGATATCACACAATATGGAGTGACTTTGGCAACATGTATATAATTATGAAATCTGAAATCATGTTGACAGAAACTATAACCATGGCAATGGAAACCGTAACCATGGTCAGCTGTTGATGGTTTCCCTGTAAACTGTTACCTTGGTTTCAAGTTGCTGCGGTTGATTGGCTAGATCCTGTGACGGTATCTGCTGGGCTTGAGGTGCCTGGACCTGTGATGGTGGGGGAGCCACTTGTCCAGGAATGGTCTGTGTGGGTAGTGCCTGAGTGCCAGGAGCTTGGGATGTTCCCGGTGGTAAAGGTGTGGCAGAAGACTGCTGATTGCTGTTAGTGGAATTAAAACTCATTACACTAGCCAGCTCTGTAGACTGGTCAGTCTCAGCTAGGCGGCTCTCTCGCACAGACAAATCTGTAAATAAATTTAAAATACATAATTTCGTTGAAGATAATGAAGTGACAAAGTTTTATTTCAATAATAATGTCAAAACATGTGTCAAGAAACAAGACTGAAAATACTTTTTTAACTATTTACATCATAAGTGATTTTCTATAAAACTACATTTCAAACTAAGAGAGTCAAATTCTGTAAAAGCTACCATTCATGAGAGAAAACATATTTTAAAGGCTCTAGATATATACAGAAGTTACATTAGACAAGGTAGGAATATTACCAACAAAACTAGCTTGTTTATTACAGAGTTCTCACCTTTTTTCATAGGACTCATGGGCCAAGCTCCGTGATATAATGAGCCAATGTTAAAGCTAGCATCTGGATCCATTGACACTGATGAGTTCTGGTCGTCACCAGGATTGGTCTGCGTTGCTATGGAAGTGTTGTTGGTGTCATCATCATTGGTGGCTCCGTAGTTCCTCTGGAATCATAGAAAGGTTGCAAAATTATCAACTATTTGATATCTCAAGATTGATAATAATGAAGGAAGGGAGATAACTCTTACACTAACAGAGGACCAAAAACATGGCCTGAAACCTTACTAGTACATAAGATGAGTTCATCCCAAAAACAACTTCAGGAAATACAGCCAGATAACAGGTCTCTCAAGCCAAGTGTTAACTTATATCAGAATGACAATTATTGTTTTAATTCTTAGAGAATACTGAAATCCAGTTATATTATACCATTTCAACAAGGTGTGGTATTTGTGTCTTTCCTTCACTCAATGTGGGCAACAAAATTTTTTTCTCTGTATTAACTCACCTGGTCCTGACTGTACCCATTAACCTGCTTACTAGCTGCAGCCTCCATCTGAAAAATACAAGCACTTTACTGACCAACTATACAGCCTGTGATAAGGACTATCTACCTGTTAATCTGACTTATATATATTATCACATACATACATTCTGATCTTTGAATTAATCAGTTTATATATTATGACTTGAATATAAATTTGTACCCATGTAAGTGTATTACCTGTTTATGTGTATTACCTGTGTATGTGTATTAGCTATGTAAGTGTATTACCTGTGTATGTATATTACCTGTATATGTATATTACATGTGTATCTATATTGCCTGTGTATATATATTACCTGTGTATGTATATTACCTGTACCTGTGTATATATATTACCTGTACCTGTATATCTATATTACCTGTATATCTATATTACCTGTGTATGTATATTACCTGTACCTGTGTATATATATTACCTGTATATCTATATTACCTGTGTATGTATATTACCTGTGTATGTATATTACCTGTACCTGTGTATATATATTACCTGTACCTGTATATCTATATTACCTGTATTTCTATATTACCTGTATATCTATATTACCTGTGTATGTATATTACCTGTACCTGTGTATATATATTACCTGTACCTGTATATCTATATTACCTGTATTTCTATATTACCTGTATATCTATATTACCTGTGTATGTATATTACCTGTATATCTATATTACCTGTATATCTATATTACCTGTGTATGTATATTACCTGTACCTGTGTATATATATTACCTGTACCTGTATATCTATATTACCTGTATATCTATATTACCTGTATATCCATATTACCTGTGTATGTATATTACCTGTACCTGTGTATATATATTACCTGTATATCTATATTACCTGTATATCTATATTACCTGTGTATGTATATTACCTGTACCTGTGTATATATATTACCTGTATATCTATATTACCTGTATATCTATATTACCTGTGTATGTATATTACCTGTACCTGTGTATATATATTACCTGTATATCTATATTACCTGTATATCTATATTACCTGTGTATATATATTACCTGTACCTGTATATCTATATTATCTGTATATCTATATTACCTGTGTATGTATATTACCTGTACCTGTATATATATATTACCTGTACCTGTATATCTATATTACCTGTATATCTATATTACCTGTATATCTATATTACCTGATATTGCTGTATCTTCAGTATGTCCGTCTCTATAGCCTGAACTCGTGTCAGTCGAGCTTCCTGTCGCTGTACAATCTGGTCGTTTGTTCCCATTTTCTGCTGAAATGCATCTTGTACACGTTTGACCTCAAACTCATGTTGGCGCCGAGCCAAATCAGTCTGTCTGTGGTACTGCAACCGCAAATACATTGCTTTTATAGAGTTTTGTTATTTTACGACAATTATGGATGAATTTCATCAATTTACATTAACAACACCATGGAAGTTTAATGTGGATGACATTCACAGTAATGGGAAGGTAACCACAACTTTTTCCATTTTTTTTCAGATTTTATTCTTACTGAAGTTTTAAGTATCTATTAGTATCTATCTAAATCCCATCTCAATTAAAATATTTTTATAACTCAGAAGTCGCCTGATTACACATCTCAATCACCAAAGTATGTGTCCTTGTTTATAATATGATCAGTGTCAGAAGGAGTGTGTTTCCTACCTTGTCTGCCATTGGTAGTGCATCCAGCTTACATTTGATAGCCTCTATCCGGTCAAAGTACCACTTTCTCTGCTTTCCTTCTTCATCTATGTCGTTCAAAAGCTTTAACCTGTAATTCATGTATTGATCATAATACATAATCATCTTGGTCATTCAAAAGCTTATATTGATCTGTAAAAAATTATGTTGAAACATTAATATCAAAATCTTTTAGATGCTTAAAAATGTTCCAGGTATCATTGATAAATTTGAAATGTACCACAAAGTGACATTTCTTATCTAGGTCATTCAGGAGCTTTATCTGCAGGAATAAAAATGTATACATGGAAATTTACATGTGAGGGAAACATCCATTACGCGGCAGTAATTCAGTCACAAAAATTTTACTAATCTGTATGAATTTGTAACATGTTTTACTAACCTGTATGAATTTGTAACATGTTTTACTAATCTGTATGAATTTGTAACATGTTTTACTAATCTGTATGAATTTGTAACATGTTTTACTAATCTGTATGAATTTGTAACATGTTTTACTAATCTGTATGAATTTGTAACATGTTTTACTAACCTGTATGAATTTGTAACATGTTTTACTAATCTGTATGAATTTGTAACATGATTTATACACATGAAATTAAACATTAAATATGGGAAGGTACATTGATCATGAAGATATTCCCTGGTTGTGCAGTTTGCCTTCTGAAATCACAACACCAACCTCAGGAGGAAATAATGTTTACAGTACTTTGAAACACTGAACATCAAAAAGTCATTCAGGAGCTTATATTCACTATACAAACAGGATTACACAAAACATGACATTATCCCCTGCGCCACGCTCTTTAAAAGAAAGACACACAATCATAAATCTGTTAATATTACATCAAGTTGAATAACTATTTGCTATTTTCAATTGTTCAATACTTTGTATTGAAACTGAGAACTTCTACTAGAGTACCAGTTTGATGCCTGTACAAAGTTTTGAGTAACGGGTAATTACCTTAAATGGTTTAAATGAACTGGTCTGAAAAAACTGAACTTTGTGATTTGGTCCGTTTCCAAGGCAACAGAAAAACGTTTTTAAGTGGAGAACTTCCCCATAGCAAAAGATACTATTAGCTTAATAAGTGTTAAACATTTTGAGCAATTAAAATGAATGGTTCAGAGCATTGGTCCGACAAACTAAAATTTGTGGTGAGGGTTATCTGTTTCTCTAGGGCACTTACTTCACATATACTGAAAATTTTGTGGAAATGAGTGGAATGATTTCGACAGTGTATCACGGAAAGGAAAGTAAACACAATTTTTTTTTTGCTATATTTCCATGGCAACAGAAAAAAAAATAAAATGAAATGTTGTCAACAGCAAAAGGCACAACTACGACACAAACGTAATATATACAGCTGCTTTTGTGAAGTTTCACGATTTTGAAGTTAAGAGTCCAAAAAACCCTCAGACAGAGGGACCAACGGACTGATGGAGACCAAATTAATATTCCCTGCAAATGCATTTGGCGGGGGATAATAAATAGGAGTTAACTAAGTTCAATGGTTATCAAAATCTACCATGGATCTGGGTGTCTGGACCATCCACACAAGTCATGAGTTTTCTACACAACAAACAAATTGACATTTGCTATCTAGATTTTGAGAAAAAAATTAAATTTGGTGTAGTTATGGGCAGGTTGGTTTTAAGTATTAAACAGAAATATAAGAAAAAAATACATATATTTAACACTGTCAGCTGGCACTGACAAAGTACTCAGTCCATGGTTAAATCTCTACCTTCATGTGACATAGTAACAAGATGTTTTTTACTATGATATGATGGTCATACAATACCCCAGTAATACCAGGTGTAAACATGTAGGACTGTTGTGTGAGATTACCAGGCGAGTAACAGTGGTGTTGATTATAATGTATGATTACAGTTAACAAACATCAAAGACTTGTGTACTCATAGTTTTACTTTCATATCTTAAAGCGTACCCTGAGAGGTCAGCTATGTTGACCTTGAAAAATAATTCTGCACATAAAATACACAATGCCGAAAACGCAAATGCCCTGGAATGTTCCATTACTGAGAAAATGTGACTTTTCTGAAAAACACACCTTTGGCTGAGAGGCGTTGACCTCGTTTTCGGGCATCCGAACCTGTGACGTCATAAGTTCAACGCTTTTGCTGATGCAGACATATTGGCATTACTGTGCTACATGTGATTGTGATATATTTTTGGATTTTTCCGCGTAATTTCTTTGTTTATTTACGTGAAAGTACTTCACATCTTCGCAATATTTAAGGTAGTGAACGAGGGGTCGGTGAATTAGCGCTTAAATCCACTAAAATAGCTTCCTATCGAGGAGGGAAGCGGTGTGTATGGTTGTCCTAACACTAACACGGATGGGTGGCGATGCATGACGTCGATAAATAAAACTTATTGTTGATTAAATAAAAGTATATTTGTTAGGTTGATATTTTGTTATTAATTCTACAACTAAACATTTTAAATTGATAGGCTAGCCTATGACTTACGCGGTCATAGGAATATTATTCCTTCGTAATCGTGAATGCCTAATACTCGGAGAAGGCCTAATAGTGAATGGGTCAGCTAACAACGGACGCGTACCAGTACTTGGGTAAAAAAAAAGTCAAATAATTGTATAAACTTCTAAAACATCAAATTTTTATTATCAACACAGCGGAGGGTGTTATAATTAGTTGTTGACACCCTATCTATATATATCCATAGTGCTACAAAAATTCCCCTCAGACGAAAATTCTTCGGTACGAAAATTCCCAGCAC